ACTGGCGGCTGGAGGCCAAATGCGACGTTGTGGTGCATTTCAGATGTCACTGAACGCCTCTTTTAGGCAGCTGAATATTGTCCTACATACTCTTTCACACTATCCTAATCAGGGGGCCAGTCCAGTAGACGTGCTCTAAAGCGCCTGGGCGAGGACCCTTGCCCAGCAGCACCTTTTGAAAACAGCCAGACACAGGAAGGACGTGGAGATGATGCCTTCAATTGTAGAGATGGCATCAGTGATTGAATGATTGAACACTTGCCAATGATGTGGGCAAACCAACGTATTCTGTATAATCGCAGCGTCTAGAGTGCTTGCACGCTGCTCTGAAGCAGGGTCGTTCTCCGCTGCTGATGCTGTGCCACCACGCTGCAAAGATTTTCCATTCCTGATATGAGCAGGCAAGCTTTATCCTTGCAATCCAGGTGTTGTCTAAGACCAAAGCAGCCTGGATTTTATTAGTTTGTTCAAGGACGGTTCAGCGCTTTACCCAATGAGTGTACATCCTGGGTGGAAGTAAATACTCCATCTCTGCTCAAAGCTAAGTATTAAAGCCTCTAAGAGGAACAAGTTTTTAAACATGTTCCCACATAGAATGACACTGGTTGGCGTGGCACAACAGATGTGGAAAATTGCCTCAACACTTCAAGAGAAGCTTGGTTTTTTTTCTCCTATAGGCTAATGATATCCAGCTGGAGGTGGGGTGTTGTGACATGATATTCATTGCTGGGAAGCCTGGGGGAATGGAGCAGGTGATACGGCTGAAGGATTCAAAATGCAAATTTTTTGAAGAGAATAAAGTTATAACTAGCAGACAACAAAAACTATTGAGCTATAAAGAGGATCAGATAGGGACTTCACTTCATTTGTACATTTATATATTTCCTTCTCTTCCTGCAGGACTATACTTGGGAAAATCATGGCTTTTCCCTTGTAAACAGGCTTTATTCTGATATTGGGCATCTCCTTGATGAGAAGTTTCGGATGGTATATAACCTCACATATAACACTATGGCAACACATGAAGATGTTGATACAACTACGCTAAGAAGAGCTTTATTTAACTATGTCCACTGTATGTATGGAATCAGGTATGGACGAAATCCCCTGGCTTAGGAGTGTATTTTAAACTGTGTAAACAGAATGAAAAATGAACCATGTGAAAAGCATGATTTTAGACTCCGGGTGTTAAAGTGGAGATGGTACCTCAGTCTGGAAGTTAGAGTGGTTTTACTGGCATATCAGTATAACTTTTGCTTCCGTTGGAGAAAATGATTATGAAACAGGATGGAAATTATTACAGAAATGTCTTCTCTGAAGCCAGCCTGTATCCTTTGTTCAGAAAAGACAACATCCTAGTACTAAGCCTTTGAGATCCTCTGTTAGCGGGTGGTTTTCTAGCGTGAATAATAAATGCTTCAATTCCCAGACTTAAGAACATAATGCTGCAAAAGACCATGCTTTTAAAAACTTATATGCAACAGAGTGATTGCCTGTGTTATTTAGGTATGATGACTATGATTATGGAGAAGTTAATCAGTTACTTGAACGCAGCCTGAAGGTTTACATAAAGACAGTGACCTGCTACCCAGAGAGAACTACCAAGCGCATGTACGATAGTTACTGGCGTCAGTTCAAGCACTCGGAGAAGGTACGTATTTCAAAGCCAAACTGGCTTCACAGAGACCCCCATGCTTTTTAAAAACGAAAATATGGTAACACCTAAAAATGGCAGTACCTGTCAAATGAACTGTTTTTAACCAGAGAAAAACAAATGAGATTAATTCATTGAGTGCTGGATATCAATTTTACAAAAATACTTCTTAGTGTACTGGAAATACTGATTCTTTTACTATTATTATTATTTTGAGTGACTTCTGCATAAAATTGAACTGACAACTGTAAAAGAAAAGTGGATAAACTTGGGAATGCAGAAGTGGTCAACTATGCCAATACTTGGGATTTGGGGATCAAAAAAGACCTTAACTCACATGTAGATAGATATATATAGGTGTATATATAAAACTCATATATATATATATATAT